CACTTTGGACTCTCAAAGTGCTGGGATTACAGGCACCCATCACCACGTCTGGCTAATGTTTGTATTATTTTTTTTTTTTTTTCTGTAGAGAGGGGGTTTCACCATGTTGGCCAGGCTGGTCTCAAACTCCTGACCTCAAGTGATCTGCCCTCCTTGGCCTCACAAAGTGCTGGGATTACAGGCCTGAGCCACTGCACCTGGCCTGATTTACTCTTGGATCCAATTCTCCCTTCATTTTAAAAGGACAGTTTCTGGGCTCCTGACTTCTGACTCAGCTTTTCCTTGGCCCACTTATCCTCAGCTTTCAGAAAGGATTTTGGGGTTCTTCGTGTTCTCTGACTTGATTTCCCTTCAGGCCTAAACCCCTTCCTAATTCTCCGGCATCTGGGATTCAGTTGTTGTAAGTAGAATTTTTGATGCCGCAAAAGAAATGGCACTCGAATATAAATTTCCTCAGCAAGGCAATTTACTTCTATAGAAGGGTGCAGCTCACAGATGAAACAATGGCGAGCACACACCTGGACAAGGAGGGGAAGGGGTACTTATACCTGATGGAGTTGCCCATACTGCTGTTGTTGTTCCCCTGTTGGCTAGGGTTAGACCGAACAAGCTAGACTAATCCCCACTGGCTATTTTAAAGAGAGCAGGGGTCCAAGCTGGAGTGGCAGGGTGGGTGGTTTGGCAGGAAGGACGGTTATGGGTGGGTCAGAGCAGGTAGCCAGGGTGACCTAGGTCAAAGGTGACTGGAGCAGGTGACTGAAGCAGGTGACCAGGATGAGTCAGGACAGAGCTAGGGGCTGGGGGAACAGATGTGAATTACTGATTAGAACTGGTAGAGAGGGTTGTTTACTGGAACTACAAGGAAGTTAACTTTAAAATAGAGAATTAAAGAATAATAAGAGAGCTGAAGATACTGACATACTGATTCTTTGAAGAGAAACATGGGGTTCACTGTATCTAACACAGTTTCACTTCAAACCAAGAACAGGGTTTCTACTTTGGGGTTTTCCTGGTGGCACGGGGTCCCCAAAGTTGATATCATCCCCCCACCTCCTGCACCTTCTACCCTTAGGCAAAAAGAAGACTCCATCATCCCCATCTCTGGGCAGCCTGCAGCAGCGTGATGGGGCCAAGGCTGAGGTTGGAGACCAGGTCCTGGTTGCGGGCCAGAAGCAGGGGATTGTGCGCTTTTATGGGAAGACAGACTTTGCCCCAGGTGAGGATGGGGACTCTGGGCTGGGGGACAGGCAGGGCCTTGAGAAATCCTGACACCTTCACGCTGCAGGTTATTGGTATGGCATTGAGCTGGACCAGCCCACGGGCAAGCATGATGGCTCTGTCTTCGGTGTCCGGTACTTCACTTGCCCCCCGAAGCATGGGGTCTTTGCACCAGCATCCCGTATTCAGAGGTGAGCCCAAACTTCCAGCCCTAACCCAGGGTACCAGCTGGAGCCCTGATCCCCCCCCTCAGATGGCCTCCTCCTCCCAGACCAGCAGGACAGTGTGGACACCTGCCAAGCCCAGCCCTTTCCTCATAGGTTCCTAGGGCCCAGCTCTCAAGTCAGACCCCAGCCTCTTGTGGCTCTGACCTTTCCCCCTCCCTGTGTCTCCCCAGGATTGGCGGATCCAGTGATCCCCCCGGGGACAGTGTTGGAGCCAAAAAAGTGCATCAAGTGACAAGTGAGTTGGGGGATGATATGCAGGGAGGAGTATATGTTTGGGATGGAAGGAAGGGTCATGGATTCTCAAGTGTATACTGGTGACAGTCTCTGGTATTTAACTGGGGACACAGGGTCCAGGAAAATGATGAGACAAGGTTCCCAAAAGAATAGGTGCTAGAGGGTATGAGGAAGTTAGCAACAAGGCTCTTTGTGGACAGGAGGTTGAGCAGATGCTGGGGACAGGGGTAGTCACTAGGGGACATGGTGGGGATTATGGACAAGAGGCCCAGGTGGGTATTGGGAATGTGGGATCCAGGTGGGAACTGGAGACATAGGGAGGTATTAATGACAAGGAATCTGGATGTACTGAGGACACACGTGGTCTGTCACCCCCTCATTTTATACTTTGCCCTCCTCTTCAGTGACGCAGCCCAAACGCACCTTCACCACAGTCCGGACCCCAAAGGACATTGCATCAGAGAACTCCATTTCCAGGTGCGTAGCCAATCACAGTCCCCTCTCCCACGTGACATTCAGGGAGAGGGATCCACAAGGCAGTTGAACCTAGAGGTCTGGAGCTCTGGTCAGGGCTGGAAAGAGAGGGTAGGAAAACTTGTGACTTGTAACTATACCCAGAAACAGTCTTTAGGGTGTAGGGCCCCGCACTGAATTCTAGTGACTTCCACTTTCAAGGGGGCCGGTAAAGGAAGCGGAACACCCTCCACTCCACACAAGCCTCAGAACAACAGACAGAGGTCGGGTGCGGTGGCTCACACCTGTAATCCCAGAACTTTGGGGGTCGAGGCAGGTGGATCGCCTGAGGTCAGGAGTTCAAGGCCAGACTGGCCAACATGGTGAAACCCTACTGAAAACACAAAAATTAGCCAGGCACGATGGCATACAACTGTAGTCCCAGCTACTTGGGAGGCTGAGGCAGGAGAGCTGCTTGAACCTGGAAGGCAGAGGTTGCAGTGAGCCAAGGTCGCACCATGACACGTCAGCCTGGGCAACAGAGAGAGATTCCATCTCAGAAAACAAACAAACAAACACACACACACACACACACACACACACACACACACACACACACACACATTCCATCTCAGAAAACAAACACACACACACACACACACACACACATTCCATCTCAGAAAACACACACACACACACACACACACACACACACACACCCAGCCAGGCCTGATGGCAAACGCCTGGGGAAAGGCTGGCGGTGATGGGTGCAGACACACACACACACACACACACACACACCCACCAGCCAGAAAGGCCTGGGGAAAGGCTGGCGGTGATGGGTGCAGATGTCCCTGCTGCCTGCCTCAGGACGTGACCCTGTCGTCCTCCTTTCCAGGTTGCTGTTCTGCTGCTGGTTCCCCTGGATGCTGAGGGCAGAGATGCAGTCTTAGAGGCCCTGGATACCCGACAAAGAGACAGAGTCCCCACTAGCATCTCCTAATACCCGAGGAGCCCTGAGTCACCCTGAGATAGAGATTCCCAGTAACACATCCAGAGTAGAGACCCCTGTTAGCCAGCCCTCGATCACTGAGGTCCCATTATTAACAGATGCCCCCATAATAACCCCCAAATGCAGACCCCATGTCACCCAGAAAGATTCCCTGAGTAGCACCTTCAGGCTAGTCCCTATCCCCAACCCCTGAGAGCAGATTCCCAGATTAACAGATTTCCACATCACCCCAAATGATGGTGACCCTCTCTACATAATATACCACAACAGTACATTCTCGAATCACCCAGCCCTGGATCAGAAACCTCCCATTAACAAACACTTCCCCCAGGTCCTCTTGAAATAAACATAGGTCATATCCCCCAGAGCAAAAGAGTAACAGACTTTCATGTCATTGTTCTCCACTTAACATTAGTCCCCTCAAGATGTTGTGACCCCAGGGTCACCGTGAAGCCCTTACACTCCAGCCCCTCAATCAGAGACTTCCTTCATTAACAAAGACCCTTGTTCTTACCCTCAAGAAGAAACCCACCATAACCAGCCCACTGTCACCCCTAATTTACAGACACCAAAACAGTCCTGGAAGTGCTAATTACAGGACCCCCAAGTCTTCCTACCCTCTGCACCCTCAAGAAACCCCCAGTGCCTTGTATGACGCCCACCCGACATGGCCCACAGCTCCTGTGCTAGCCAGACTCCCAGAAAATTCTCTATTTTTTAAGTAATGACTTCCCCCTTTGGGGGACCCCAAAATTTGGAGGCCCCATTCTAGGACTCTGGGGATCCTAGATCCTAGAGTACACATGTCCCAAACTCCCCCATGCCCTCAAGTCCTACAGCCCCTAGAAGACCCCAATGCCCTAACTCCTAGGACCCCCAAATCATGGAATCCTCAAATCCCCAGGGAATCCCAAATTTGAAAATCCAATTCCAAGCCCTCAGGAAACCCAATCATGAGGTCCTTGTGCCTGGGATAGAGGAGACTGCAGTCAGGATATCCATTCCAGGCTCCCAGGTACCTCAAGCCCTATTCACAGGCACCAGGAAAACCCCACACAGGAATTCCCATCGCTGGAAACTGGAGAACTTCAATGCCCTGAGTCGACGGATCTCAAGACACCAAATTCCAAGAGCCCCAGCCCCAAGGGAACCCCAAATCCTAAAGCCTTTATCTCTAATATATTGAAGGCCCCAAGGCCCTGAGGGGATCCCAAATCCTGGAACCCCGATTTCAGTCTACGTTCTGGTCACTGGCCTCAAAGGACCCCACAGCACCTGGGCCAGACCAACAGCCTGAGGGAGAACCTGAAGGCCCAGGGAGTCCAGGGCGGACCTGGGGCCCCGACCACCAAGGACAGCTCACGACTGCCCCTTCACTGCATGTCCCCAAACTCAGCATGACTCCTGTCCTCTTCAATAAAGACGTTTCTATGGCCTCTCTGTGTGGGGTCATTGTTTGGGGGTTTCGCCCCTGCCTCTATACCCTTGCTGGGAGAAGACAGGAAAGGAAGTGCTTCCTTCAATCTCGCCTCCCTGCAGTGTGGGCATGGGGTGGCGGTGGCCGTGGGAAGTCCTTCTAACAGCCTCTTCTGTCTTACCGAGGCTGTCCAGGCTGCCATCCTGGTCCCACCCATCAGGGGCGATTCCGCAGTTGGCGGGTTCGGTTCCTAAGTTCTGATTGGCCAGTACTAGACAACGATGCTCCGCCCACGCCCTCCTGCCAATGGCTCAGAGGCCAGGAGCCAGGAGGCGCGGCCTATCCCTGGGCGAGGATGAAGGGGGCAGGCGAATACTGAGTGAGAGCGCCGATTGGGTGGAAGGCGGGCCCTCGAGGCCTCTAGGAGCTTCTATTGGCCTGCGAGTTCTGCGTCTGTAATGTGGGACGGAAATGGCTGGGAGGGGGATGGTGATGTTGAATTTGGAAATTGGTGGGGACACTGGTGGACGGTCAGTTTTAGGGGGTGCTGGGGGTAGAGATCGGTGTCAAGAAGGCTGAAAGTGGGGATCCGGGGGAGCCCGGAGTAGGAGTCCGAGGAGGCTCAGAGCTTGGAGTCCTAAAAGACTCGGAGTCGGGGGTCTGAAGGGTTCAGGGAGGGAAAAAGGCTTGGGAGTCAGGCTTAGAGCTAAAGATGCCAGGGTGCTGGAGTGAAGGGGCGCTCAGGAAGGAAAATCCGAGGGGCGTTCAAATGGGGAGATCCGAGGAGGCTGAGGGTGGACGTGTCTGAGGAGGCTCAGATTAGGATCACAGAGGTTCACAGAATGGGGTTCCGCGGGGCGGGGGGCGCTGAGTGTTGATAGCCCGGCTCACGGTTGCAGGTCTGAAGTGGGGTCTCAAGGTGTTTAAATGGATTCTGGGGTGCAGCCCTGGGGGCTATGTGTGGAGCTTTTGAGAAAGGCTCCCTGTGTGTGAGGCCAGAGAATGTTTTCCGTGGAAGGATTGAGAGGGCATATGCATCGTTTGATGGGCCCTTAGCTGACACAGTAATGGGGAAATATTCTTCGGGCTCATTGTGTCCGGACATGGAGCCTAGGGCTCTCTGTGTGGCTTGTAAGATGCTGAAGACTCAGCTTTTAGAGGCCAGATGAGTTTCAAAAGGGAGCTGAAGTGAGGCCTGGCCTGTGATGGAGTGGAAGGCTGCATCGTGATGTTAGGGTGGGAGGCTTAGTGACTTCAGCATGTGTTCTCCCTCCCTACAGGATTGAGTGCAAGGAGTTGGTGTTGATGGAGGAGCAAGACGCCAGAGTCCCAGCCCTGGAACCATTCAGAGTGGAACAGGTTGTCAGAACTCGGGGTGCAGAGGGTGAAGGAGGCAGGCTGACTCCTGAGTTCCTGGGTTGGGACTGCCCCCCCCAAATTCATTCTGTCAGAGGCCATCCTGGAATGGCACTGGTCCCTTGGCTTCAGACCCTGACCTTTCTGAGGACATCCTGGGCCTGTCTCCAGGGGTAGGGGCTGTTCTGTGAAGATACGGCCTCTGTGTGGGTTGAAGAGCCGTATCTTCAGGGGGTCTCTCTATTCTAGGCACCACCTGTAATCTACTATGTCCCTGACTTCATCTCCAAAGAAGAGGAGGAGTATTTGCTTCGACAGGTGACGTCAGTGCCCTTCTGGTCTGTTTTCCCACTCTTCCCATATCCCTCCCCAGTGCCTGTCCTCTGTATGAGAGCCCCAAAGGCTGCAGTGAAGACCCTGGCAAAAGGAAGAATGCCGTATAGCACCCATCCTTCACCCTCCCTGTTCCTTTCTCAGGACCTTTGAGGGCCTGTCAGAAAGAGATTTTTTTTCAGCCAGGCATGGTGGTGCATGCCTGTAGTCCTAGCTCTTCAGGAAGCTGAGACAGGAGGATCACTTGAGCCCAGAAGTTGAAGGCTACAGTGATCACACCACTGCATTCTAACTTGAGCAACAGAGTAAGACCATCTCTAAAAAATAAAAATTAAAAAAAGATATTTCTGGCTGGGTGCGGTGGCTCACACCTGTAATCCCAGCACTTTGGAAGGCCAAGGCGGGCAGATCACTTGAAATCAGGAGTTCAAGACCAGCCTGGCCAACATAGTGAAACCCTGTGTCTACTAAAAATACAAAAATTAGCCGGGCGTGGTGGCAGGCACCTGTAATCCCAGCTACTTGGGAGGCTGAGGCAGGAGAATCACTTGAACCCAGGAGGCAGAGGTTTCAGTGAGCTGAAATTGCACCAATGCACTCTAGCCTGGACAATAAGAACAAAACTTTGTCTCAAAAAAAAAAAAAAAGAAAAGAAAAGAAAAAAAAGGCCAGGTGTGGTGGCTCACACCTGTAATCCCAGCACTTTGGGAGGCTGAGGCAGACAGATCACCCGAGGTCAGAGTTTAAGACCAGCCTGGTCAACATGGTGAAACCCCATCTCTATTAAAAAAAAAAGAGAGAGAGAGAGAGAGATTTCTCTAGGAGGCTTTGGAGAAACCAAACTGATTCTTAGCAAGTGGTTTTTATGAACTTTAGGCTCCCTGTGCTGAGATAGCCCAGTCCAGCCTTCAAAATAAGAATATTATTGAGATCATATTCCTTGTCCAGGAATAGCCCAGTGCATCCCATCCCAGGGTCTCAGGAACAAGGAAGTTACAGAGCTCATACTCCCTGTACTGAGATAGCGCAATCCTGCTAGCTTAGAGAATAGGAGGCTATAAACATAGGCTGAGATATCCCAGTTCAGATCATTGAGACTAGGGAGTAAAGATTTTAGTATTCAGATTTCTGTGCTGAGATAGCCCAGTAAACTCTTTCCTGTGCTAAAATAGCTCAGCATAGACCCAGAGCCTTAGGAATTAGGTTACCAAGCACAGACTGTCCATGCTGAGATGGCCCGGTCTGTATTCTATTCTTAAGGTTTGCGGAAAGAAGAATTCATGAAGCTCAGAGTCCCTGCATGGGGACAACCCTTTGCAGCCCCAGAGCCTAAGTGACAGAGCACAGATCTTCCCTGTGTTGGAGTAACCCACTGAGCTTGAGTCCAGGAAAAAATTAGCTACAGAACACAGACTTTTTTTTTTTTGCTAAGATAGCCCATTCCAGACCTTTGGGCTCTTGTGATTGAAAAATCTACATTTTAAAAAAAATTTCCTTCAGCAAGGCAATTTACTTCTACAGAAGGGTGCAGCTCACAGATGGAACAATGGCAAGCAAACACCTGGACAAGGGAGGGGAAAGGGTACTTACTCCTTATGGAGTCACCACTACTGCTGTGTCGTTCCCCTATTGGCTAGTGTTAGACCGCACAGTCTAGTCTAATTCCGATTGGCTATTTTAACAGAGTGGGTAGTTTGGCAGGAAGGATGATTATGGGCAGGTCAGAGCAGGTAGCCGGGGGTCAAAGCAGGTGACCAGGATGAGTCAGGACAGAGCAGGGGACCTGGGATGGGGGAGGGAAACAGACGTGAACTACTGATTAGAACTGATTAGAAAAGGTTGTTTACTGAAACTACAAGGAAGTTAACTTTAAAATGGAGAATTAAAGAATAAGAGCTGAACATATGACGTACTGATTCTTTGAAGAGAAACTTGGGGTTCACTGTATCTCAGAATCCCTCATCCTGAATTTTTACACTTTTGTTTTTTCTCTTCAAACTTCCTTAACATGTCTTAGCTTAATTGTTCTGCTGTCCCTTTGAGCACATCCATAGTGTAATAATTAACCGCTGCTAATCATAATAGATATAATTTATTTAATTTACATTTTTATTAATTTCACCTACGAAAATATTGACTGAAATCCTGCAGCTATTTGGTCTTGGGTTTTAAATTTACTTGGTAACTCCAATAGTGTTTATATAAATGTGAGGGTTAAAGGACCCATGTAAGGCACTTCTTTTTACAAAAATCTACATGTTATAGGCCGGGCGCGGTGGCTCACGCCTGTAATCCCAGCACTTTGGGAGGCCGAGGCCGTCGGATCCCTTCACGTCAGGAGTTAAAGACCAGCCTGACCATCATGGTGAAACCCTGTCTCTACTAAAAACACAAAAATTAGCAGGGCATGGTGGCATGTAATCCCAGCTACTTGGGAGGCTGAGGCAGGAGGACTGCTTGAACCCCGGAGGCGGAGGTTGCAGTGAGCCAAGATTGCGCCATTGTACTCCAGCCTGGAGCACAAGAGCGAGACTAAGTCTTAAAAAAAAGGCAAAAATCTACGTATTGGAGAATTCCTGGGCTGAAATAACCCAGTTCAGCCCCATAACCATGAAGGGAATGCGTAGATTATCAATTAGCGCATAGATTTGTTGGACTGAGATATTCCATTCTAGACCATTAGGATCTTGGCGGTGGAAGATTTTCAAAGTACTATCTTTGCTGTGCTGAGATAGCCTAGCTTTGCACAGTCCCTCCCCCAGGCAATAGGAACAAGGAGGTTGCAGAACTCAAACTGTCCTCAGAGAGCCCAGGAATCAGGAATTTTTTTTTTTTTTTTTTTTCACCACTGAAACAGTCTCACTCTGTCACCCAGGCTGGAGTACAGTGGTGTGATCTCAGCTCACTGCAGCCGCCACCTCCTGGGTTCAAGAGATTCTGGTGTCTCAGTCTCCCGAGTAGCTTGGATTGCAGGCGTGTACTACCACATGGCTAATTTTTGTTTTTATTTTTTATTTTTATTTTTTGAAACGGAGTCTCGGTCTGTTACCCAGGCTGGAATACAGTGGCACGATCTCAGCTCACTGCAACCACCGCCTCCCAGGTTCAAGCAATTCTGCCTCAGCCTCCCAAGTAGCTGGGGTCACAGGTGTGCGCCACCACGCCCAGCTAAGTTTTGTATTTTTAGTAGAGATGGAGTTTCCCCATGTTGGCCAGACAGGTCTCAAACTCCTGACCTCAAGTGATCCGCCTCAGCCTCCCAGAGTGCTGGGATTACAGGCCTGAGCCACTGGGCGTGGAATCAGGAAATTAGAATGCTGACTATGCTGGGCTGAAAGAGCCCTGTCCAGCCCCAGAACTCTTAGACCATGGTTGTGCAGCCCTGATTCTTAAATCCTGGTAGACATGGGTGGGCTTTGGGGCCAAAAGTGTTCCGAGGAAAGAAAGCAAACTACAAGATCCTAGGAACCCACTGCCCCAGGGAATGGTCCCACAGACACTGGGATGACCCATTTCTACCCTAGAGGTAAAGGCCCTTATGTTGGCCTGGGTGGGAGAATCTTAGAGGGGTGATCCTGAGAAAGGAGTGACCCCTTTTCCACCTCCTAGGTTTTTAATGCCCCAAAGCCAAAGTGGACCCAGCTGTCTGGGAGAAAGTTACAGAATTGGGGTAAGTGTCCCTGGCTGGGCATGAGTAATTCTGGGATGTAGGCTGGGGCAAGGGACTCAGGTCCAATAGCCTCAAGACATCAGAGGGTTCCTGATGGCTCAGGGGGCCCCAAGAGCCAGGAGGATTCCAAAGGGGTCAGTGGAGGTCCTGAGGGGTTTGGGAAATCCTGATGAGTTGGGAGTATCTGAAAGGGGCCCATGGTCTGGAGAAGTTAGGAGACCTCTGAAGGGCCCAGTGACTATCTCCAAAGGGTGAGGGGTCCCTGAGGGTGTCAGGGTGCTTCCAGCCACTGTGGAATCCCTAATGAGTTATCTGTGTGCTATGGGGAACCCTTAGAACTCCATTGCCATCTCCAGGTGGGCTTCCCCATCCCCGGGGAATGGTTCCTGAGCGGCTGCCTCCATGGCTCCAGCGCTATGTGGACAAAGTATCTGACCTCAGCCTCTTTGGAGGCTTCCCAGCTAACCATGTACTCGTGAACCAGTATCTACCTGGAGAGGGCATCATGGTAACCACACACACTTGGCCCATGTCCTCCCACCCAGATTTCTAAGCCATCCTGGGGCAGGGGACCCTGTACCTACCCTCACTCATTAGGCAGCCACATCCCCCAAGTAGGCATTCATCTCCCTGTCCCTGGGTTGGGAGCCCCCTTTTGACCTAGAGGGTGGGGGGTGTGGACTCCTGCCCTGCCCAGCCCTGGTGCCCACTCCCCAGCCCCACGAGGACGGACCACTGTACTACCCGACTGTCAGCACCATCAGCCTTGGTTCCCACACCATGCTGGACTTCTACGAGCCACGGCGGCCGGAGGATGATGACCCTATGGAACAGGTGGGCCCCCAGACACTGCCCCCAGCTCTTGCAGACACTTCAACCTCACACATCCTCCAAGATGACCTGGTCCCATGTGTCTTTGGGGTATTCCTGGCACTCTTCCAGATACCTTCCCTTGTCCCCTCATGGAGCGTACCCACTTTCTCCCAGATGCCCAGCCCATCTACTTCCAGGGTGCCCTACACACCATGATTTCCACAGGCTCCCCGATGCCACAACCTGCTGGTCAGATGCCCCTGACTCCCCAGCAGACACTAATATCCTCAGATACCCCACCACCGTTTACCCAAGGAGGCCTCACGTCCTCCCAGCTGCCCCATCTGCCCTGCTCAGGGTGCCCTAGACATCCTGCTACTCTAGGAATGTGACTTGGGGTACAGGACACCCCCAGATTCTCCTTGGCCCCTTGACATGATTTCTCTGAGTGATGCATTTCCAGCACCCTAGTGTTCACAGAAACGCCCCTGAACACCCTGACTCTTTGGGGCTTGCCCTGGAGCCCTGCGTGCTCCTGGATGCTGTGACACCCTCTCAGCTGTGCGGTTGTCCTCTAATGACCTGATGTCTTTGGGGACCCGCACTGTCTCTAAGCTCTGCCTCACTCTGTTCTCACCTCGTCCTGGCTTCAGCCATGCTCTCTCAGCCCAGGTCTGTCTGCATTTCCTGGGGACTGCCGATCTCTGGATCCCAGCCTCAGCCCCAGCCCCTTGGAGATCCCATAGGCAGCTCCCACCATCAGCTGACCCTCTGACGCCCCCATCTGCAGCCTATATCCTGCCCCCTCTCGAGGGACTGTAGAGCCCTCACCCTCCCTTCCCAGCAGCCCCAGCCCAGGCCGCAGCAATTTTCACTCCTGAACCACCAGAGCCTCCATCACTGTGAGCACACTTGCTCTTCAGCCTATGTCCCTGGGGACCCGCTGCTCCCCAAAGCCGGCCGACTTCTCGCCCACCCCTTCCCCCGACTTCTTGAGCCCTGCTGACCCTCAACCCGCCCTGCAGCCCTGGGCCCCGCCCCGGCCCACCACCTCGCTGCTACTGGAACCGCGCAGCCTGCTGGTGCTACGCGGCCCTGCCTACACGCGCCTCCTCCACGGGATCGCTGCCGCCTGCGTAGACGCGCTGGATGCCGCCTCCCCACCGCCCAACGCGGCCGCCTGCCCGTCGGCGCGGCCCGGAGCCTGCCTGGTGCGCGGTACCCGGGTCTCGCTGACCATCCGCCGCGTGCCCCGCGTGTTGCGGGCCGGCCTCCTGCTGGGCAAGTGACCGCCACGGCCGGGACCCCTTGGATCCCCCGGCTCCTGCCCGCTTGGGGCTGCTATGACTCTGCGACCTTGGAACCCTGTTGGGCAGAGGGGGGCTCCCTTGGGTTATTTATTTTCCTAATAATTTTGTGGGAGCCACAGAAGACCCTATACCAAATAAAAAATCTTTCGTTGGTTTTAAATTTTTATTTTTTTTGTGGGGGGGCAGGTGCTTGGGTTCCTGAGGGGCGCCGCATGTAGGGTCTTAAATGAATGGGATAGGCCCTGGAGGTCAGATGTCTGGGTCCCCAGTGGGGCAGAATCCAAGGCTCTTGGGGAGATGGGGGAGTGGTTCTATCTGGGACCCCCTTGGATGGCAGAGTGATGCTGGGAGGTTTAGCTACTGGCCTGCTAGGCAGTAAGGAGTTAAGTGGCTCTTCTGTCACCTGAGCCGGGCATCAAATGGCCTGGTCCAGGTTCCTCTTGGAAGGGGCGGAGCCAGGCCTGTCCTGGGCCTCTCCTGCAGCCTCAGGCCCCGGTGACTCCGGTGACTCCAGCGGAGGAGCTCTGGGATACTCTTGTTGAAGGAAGAGGTCTTACTGGCTGCCCTCACCTGACTCTGTGTCCCCAGGCCCCCAGCCATGGCTCTATCCCTGCCTCTGGGCACTGGACTTGGCTCAGAGCCCCTCAGCCACCCCCCGGGAGCCCCTAGGGAGCCGGACTTTGTTGGACGCACGGTCTGCCCTGCATCCGGAGAGGAGAGCACCAGGTGGGGCTGGGGCTTTTTGGAAGCTTGTTCCAAGAGGGTGGGCTCGGGGACAGGGACCACGTGAGGGTAAGAGGCGCCATGGCTGTGATCACCTGGGGACATAGGAGAGGCTGCTGGGGTTTGGGTGAGGGTGGGCTGGAAAGTGAGGTGTCTGAGACTCACCCAGTCCCACCCCCTGCCTCCCAGCCCAGAGCAGGCCCAGACCCTGGGACAGGACGCCTTGGGCCCTCCCGAGCACTTCCAGGGTGGGCCAAGGGGTAATGAGCCCGCCGCTCGCCCCCCAAGATGGTCAACACCCTCTTCCCATGAGGACCCAGCTGGGGGCAGACATTGTGAGGTGAGCTGAGGTGACCCAGACCCCTTGTGCCAGCCCCACCTCCTCTCCGTCCCCCTGAGTCCGGCCTCCACCCTGAGGACTGGGTGATGATTCTAGAAAGGTGTTGGATGTCTGTAGGGGGAGGAACCCTCTGGAAAATGTTTCCTTCTTTCTTTTTTTTTGAGATGGAGTCTCGCTTTGTTGCCAGGCTGGAGTGCAGTGGCGCAATCCCGGCTCACCGCAACCTCGGTCTCTCAGGTTCAAGTCATTCTCCTGCCTCAGCCTCCTGGGTAGCTGGGACTACAGGCGCAAGCCACCACGCCCAGCTAATTTTTATATTTTTAGTAAAGATGGGTTTCACCATGTTGGCCAGGATGATCTCAATCTCTTGACCTTGTAATCTGCCAGGCTTGGCCTCCCAAAGTGCTGGGATTACAGGGGAAATGTTTCTTTACCAATCAGTAGAGAAGTGTTTCTTTTCTTTTTTTTTGAGACTGAGTCTCATTCTGTCACCCAGGCTGGAGTACAGTGGTGTGATCTCAGCTCATTGCAACCTCCCCCTCCCAGGTCCCAGTGATTTCTCCTGTCTCAGCCTCCCAAGCAGCTGGGATTACAGGCGTGTGCCACCACACCTGGCTAATTTTTGTATTTTTAGTAGAGATGGGGTTTCACCATGTTAGCCAGGCTAGTCTTGAACTCCCTGGTGATCCACCCACCCCAGCCTCCCAAAGTGCTGGGATTACAGGCATGAGCCACCATACCCAGCTGTATTTCCTTTTTATTTAAAAAAAAAAAAAAAAAAAGAGAGAGAGAGAGACGAGGTTTCACTATGTTGCCCAGGCTGGTCTTGAATTCCTGGGCTCAAGCCATCTTCTGGCCTTGGCCTCCCAAAGTTCTGGGATTATATGTGTGAGCCACCACATCTGGCTGAGAAGCATATCATCAGAGCTCCTGGTGTAGTCCCATTCTTCTAAGGGGGTACCCAGCCCCATCACCCCCTTCCTTCCCTGAGCCCCCGCATTGGGCCTCACACATCCAAGTTTCCAGGAGGCTTGAAAACCTGGAAGGCCCCCTCCAGTAGGAGCGACCCTGGTGCAGACAGACCTGGAGGCGGACTCTGCTGCAGAGAAGTTTCCAGAAGCTTACAGAAGAGGGGTGAGGAAGGGGGCAGGGGTGATATCTTGATTGGCCCACTGGCCCTGACTTGGCTCCTATGTTTCCCCAGCACCCTGCTTCTGGCCTGGAGGTACTGGAGGCTGAGCAGGACAGCCTACACCTGTCCCTGCTGGGGCTGGGCCTCTGGCTGCAGGACCTGGAGCAAGGCCCAGGGCGCTGGGCGTTGGCCCAGAGCGGGATGGTGCAGCTGCGGGTAGGCAGGGGAGGCCAGGATGTGGGGGTGAGCAGGGCGCCAGCAGTGAGTGACAGCCAGCTTTCTGGGGTGGGAAACGGGGTGAGTGCCTGTTCCAGGCCTGTGGATAGGAAATGGGGGAGGAGGTAACTCCAGGTTGTGGGTTCCTGGTGTCCCTGGTGTGCATGTGGAGTGAGGTCCAACCATGTGTCCCCAGGCCCTCCAGGCGGACCTACGAGGGGCAGCTGAGCGTGTGGAGGCGCTGATAACGTTTGGTGAGGGGCTGGCACAGCGGAGTGAGCCGAGGGCCTGGGCAGCCCTGGAGCAGATCCTGCGGGCCCTGGGAGCTCACCGAGACACCATCTTCCGGAGGCTGTGGCAGCTGCAGGCCCAGCTGGTCAGCTACAGCCTGGTAGGGCCCATTCTGATACTCCCCACCCAACACAGGCCCCAACCTCATAGCCCCCATGACCTCTGTCCTCTGACCCAGGTGTTTGAAGAGGCCAACACACCGAACCAGGACTTGGAGATCGAGGGAGACTCGGACTGGCCAGGACCTGGTGGCATGTGGGGGCCCTGGGCACCCAGTAGTCTTCCCACTTCTGCAGAATTGGAGTGGGATCCAGCGGGGGACATTGGGGGCCTTGGGCCCTCAGAACAAAAGACTGCCCGGATACTAGGAGCGCCCTGTGAGCTGTGTGGCCACAGAGGCCCCCAGGGCAGGGTACAAGGCCTTGAGGTGAGAGCAGACCCCCTGGAGGGACCTCATGCCAGACACCCTGAGGACATGTCTGTGTACCTTCTAGCAGGGTTCTTCCCTTCCAAGGAGGTGTGAGTGGCTCTGTCTCTTGGTGTCTCCTTCTATCTCACTGTTTCTCTCTCTCCTGTCTGTCTCTGTCTACATCCTCAAGCTCCATCTCAAATTCAGTCCCATCCCGAAGCCCCCAGATGATGCCCCGCTCACCTCCTGACTGTCCCAGTCTCTCCACCTCTTCAGAGAGGCCTGTCCTTACCTCCAAACATGAGCACTCTGATCTTCTTTATTCCCTAACAGCACTCACCACAGCTTGACTTTGTACATTTACTTATTTCATTTTTTTGAGACAAAGTCTCACTCTGTCGCCCAGGCTGGAGTGCAGTGGTGCGCTCTCTGCTCACTGCTCACTGCAACCTCCACCTCCCAGGTTCAAGCAATTCTCCTGCCTCAGCCTCCAAAGTAGCTGGGATTACAGGTGTGCACCACCACGCCTGGCTAATTTTTCTATTTTTAGTAGAGACAGGGTTTTACCATGTTGGCCAGGTTGGTCTCAAACTCCTGACCTCAAGTGACATGCCCGCCTCGGCCTCCCAAAGTGCTGGGATTACAGGCATGAGCCACCACACTGGGCCTCATTTACTCATTAATTTATGGTCTGTCTCTCTCCTGTCAAATGTAAGCTCCGTGGAGGCCAGGTATTTGCCTATTTCCATCCCCACTGTGTCCCCAGCTCCTAGAACAGTTCCTGGCTTGTAACAGACGCTCATTACAAATGTATTGAATGAATGAATAAATAATGTCCCTCCTCTCTTGGTTTCTTTGGCTCTGCCCTTGTCCGTCTGTCCCATGAGATCTCTCTGTTCCCCCAGAATTTCATCTCTATGACACCCCCTAACCTAGCCCTCCCCCAACCACATTTCTCTTTGTTGCTGGTTCTCCAGGAACCACACACCTCTCACTCCCGACAGGACATGCTGGAGTCCAGCCTCAGCCACTGGAAACACTTAGCAGGTCACCGAAGACGCTCCCTGCTCCGAAAGCCTCAGGTGAGCCGCTTCTCAACCAGGTGTAGCACTCAGGAATCTTGATGGTGAGTGACAGAAACCCAACAAGTTGAAAGTTACAAAAAAAGGGATGCCATTTTTTTTTTTTTTTTTAAATGTAACTGAAAGGTCCAGGCGCTGTTGGATTCAGAGCTTCAAACAACACCAGGGCTCAGTCCCTCCTTTTCTTGGGCTCTAATTCCCCAAGGTGGCTTCCTTCTCAGCAAAATAGGTGCGCCAGTGGCTACACAGTCATTCCCACTGGTTTACCCAACCCAGGGGATGAAGCATGCCTCCGACCCTACTGACAGCTGCCAAAGTCCCAGGGCTGACTCCCACTTACCGGCTGGGGTCATAGGCTGCACCTTGAATAAACCAGAGTGCTCGGACTGGCCAGGTATGGGTCATACCAATCATGGAAGTGAGGGAGGCAGGTGTCAGCTTCACTTGAACCTGAAGGTCTGGGAGTGGACGGCATGACAGCAGCCCACCTCCAATTGAGCCACTGCTATCAGAAAAAGGGGGATTGTGTTGGATGAAGGACAGATACAACCAGATATCCACTATACTTGGAGATATTCCAAGTCCATGCAGGGTCCTGGGGACGAGGAGGTGCCAGAAAAGGAGAAGAAATAACACCAGCCCTGTCAGTCTTACACTAGCAGAGAAAAGACCATATGAAGTGTCACTTCTGGCTGGATGCCATGGTTCACAACTGTGATCCCAACACTTTGGGAGGCCGAGGCAGGAGGATTGCTTGAGGTCAGGAGTTCAAGACCAGCCTGAGCAACACAGCCCCACCCCCCCATCTCTACAAAACAATTTTTTTTTTTTTTAAAGTAGATGGTTGCAGTGGCATGTGTCTGTGGTCCCAGCTATTAGGAAGGCTGAGGTGAGAGGATCAGTGAGCCTAGGAGGTTGAGGCTGCCATGAGTCGTGACTGTGAAACCACACTCCAGCGCGGGTGACAGAACAAGACCCAGTCTCAAAAAATAATGTGCCAGCCAAGCATGGTGACTCACACCTATAATCCCAGCACTTTGGGAGGCAGAAGTGGGCGGATCACTTGAGGTCAGGAGTTCAAGACCAGCCTGGCCAACATGGTGAAACCCCATTTCTACTAAAAATAACAAAAATGAGCCAGGTGTGGTGGTGAACGCCTATAGTCCCAGCTACTTGGGAGGCTGAGGCAGGAGAATTGCTTGATCCCAGGAGGCAGAGGTTGCAGTGAGCTGAGATCGAGCCATTGGAGTCCAGCCTGGGCGGCAAGAGTGAGACTCCTTCTAAAAAAAAAAAAAAATCATTTCTATTCATTCTGCTGCTGGCTTCTGTCCCTCCTTAGGACAAGAAGAGGCAAGCATCTCCCCAACTCCAGGATGTGAGGCTGGAGGGGAATCCTGGGTGAGATGCCTGGAAGATGGGACTGGGGTGTGGCAGCCCACTCGTATGTTTAACACTGCATTTCCCTTCACAGGGCTCCCGATCCTGCATCCAGGTGGCCCCTGACCTTCCTCCTTATCCTTTTCCTCCTCTTCCTCCTCCTGGTGGGTGCCGTGTTTCTCCTGCCTGTGTCAGGAGGCCCCTGCTGCTTTCACGGCCGAATGCCCCGGATACCCTACCTAGTGCTCAGCTATGTCAATGGTCTTCCCCCAGTCTGATGTGTCTAATAAATGGTCACTGTCAAAGGAAGTGTGAGGATACTGGGTGCTTGCATACCCAGAATCTAGAATGTGGCCTGGATATATCTGGACAGACCCTTTTGCCATGAGCACAGAACACAGAACTGCATCAGCCCATCTTGGGTGGGGCTGCTCCAGACCCTGACACAAAGGGTCAAATACCAGTTCTTTATTTAGGTGTGGCAGGGGATCCAAGATGTAAGCTCAGGAAGGGAGAAAGCCAATACTGGGTGAGTTACTGGTTGCTGCTCTGGGCACCTGGGGTGCCATGCCATTGGGGAGCTCTGGGAAATTGTGGAACACAGTTCAAACTGGTTCTACCCTAGGGGCAAAGAAGTGGCTTTTTTCTTTTTTTTTTCGACAGAGTCCTACTCTGTCGCCCAGGTTGGAATGCAGTGGTGCAATCTCAGCTCACTGTAACCTCCGCTTCCAGGATTCAAGCAATTATCCTGCCTCAGACTCCAGAGTAGCTGTGATTATAGGCGTGTACCACCATACCAGGCTAGCTTTTGTTTGTTTGTTTTGTTTTTTTTGACACAGGGTCTCGTTCTGCTGCTCAGGCTGAAGTGCAGTAGCTTGATCTTGGCTCACTGCAACCTCTGCCTCCTGGTTTCAAGCGATTCTCTGGCCTCAGCCTCCCAAGTAGCTGGGATTACAGGAATGTGCCACCATGCCTGGCTAATTTTTGTATTTTTAGTAGAGACAGGATTTTGCCAGTTGGTCAGGTGGGTCTTGAACTCCTGATCTCAGGTGACCCACCCACCTCAGCTTCCCAAAGTGCTGGGATTACAGGCATGAGCCACCATGCCCAGCTTAGTTTTTGTATTTTTAGTAGAGATGGGGTTTCGCCATGTTCACCAGGCTGGTCTCAAACTCCTGACCTGAGGTGAACCACCTAGACCTCCCAAAGTGCTGGGATTACAGGCGTGAGCCACCGTGCCTGACCCACATTTCTATACTAGCTCTCATCTCTCATTGTTGAAGGCTTTTCCTGGACACTTTAACACCCTAGTATTCCCAGCCCTCTGGCCTGTGAAGGCCCCTCCCTCAGGCAAAGCAGCACAGGTGCATGCCACAGGAAGCTAGAAGCAGGCACAGGAAGGTGCACATGATACGGGTGGAGCTGCTGTCGGCATCTGCTGTGGCCTAACTTGCATCCTTAGAGGTGCTCATTCAAATATTCTATGTAGCGGGCTCCTGGGCTGGGCCATCACTGATTCAGGACTGTGAAATCCCTCTTCCCGCTGTCTTCACAACACCAGGCTAAATTGCTTATAGTCCAGTCTCCCCAGAGCTTAAGGTATCGGGACAAGAGGTAGAGGCAGAATCAGACTCAAGAACAGATGCAGGAGCCCTGTGTGGGGCTCCAGAATGCACCCTTCACACAGATCCACGCTCCTGTAATTCTCAAAACTGCTAGCAATGCGGCCCCACTTTACAGCATAGGAAACAGGCTCAAAGAGGGGAATTCATTGGCCCAGGCCACACTAGTGAGAGCCCAACTCTCACTGACATTAAAACAGAAATGGGAATTAATTAATTTAAGACTGAGTTTCTCTCTGTCACCCAGGCTGGAGTGCAGTGGTGTGATCTTGGCTCATATCGCTGCAACCTTGGTCTCCTGGGTTCAAGAGATTCTCCTGCCTTAGTCTCCTGAGTAGCTGGGACTACAGGCACACACCACTGCACCTGGATAATTTTTTGTATTTTTAGTAGAGATGGAGTTTCACCATGTTGGCCAGGCTGGTCTCCAACTCCTGACCTCAGGTGATCTGCTCGCCTTGCCCTGCCAAAGTGCTGGGATTACAGGCATGAGCCACCATACCCAGCCTGGGAATTTATTTATGTAGGTAACAGAAGTTCAGGACTTCAGGGCCGGGTGCAGTGGCTCACACCTGTAATCCCAGCACTTTGAGAGGCCAAGGAAGGATCACTTGAGCCCAGCAGTTCAAGACCAGCCTAGGCAACATAGTGAGACTCTGTCTCTATAAACAACAAAACAAAACAAAAATATAAGTTAAGGATTTCAGGCATAGTTAGATGGTGGGGCTCAAATGCTGTCTCTTGTCTCTCATTTCTTTTCTCTATTTTGGCTTCATTCTTATCCTAGTGATGGCCAGAGTGACCCTCAAAACCTCCAGCCATACATAGCTGAGTCCAAACTCATATAATTCACTGCACAACAGGCAGTAAGTAGAGAAAAATGTTGGGGCAAAGAAAGCAACTTCATTTGAGGCCGGGTGTAGTGGCTCACGCCTGTAATCCCATCACTTTAGGAGGCTGAGATGGGTGGATCACCTGAGGTCAGGAGTTTTGAGACCAGCCTGGCCAACGTGGTGAAACCTGGTCTCTACTAAAAATACGAAAGAAAAAAAAAAAAAAACACCTGGGTGTGGTGTAGTCCCAGCTACTCAGGAGGCTAAGACAGGAGAATCACTTGGACCTGGGAGGTGGAGATTGCAGTGAGCCGAGACTGTGCCATTGCACTCCAGCCTGGGTGACACCGTCTCAAAAAAAAAAAAAAAAAGCAAGCAACTTCATTTGGAGACACAGCAAACCAAGAAGATGGCAGACTAGTGTCCTAAAGAACCATCTCAAGTTAGTATAAATTTTAGGTTTCTTTTTATGCTAAGGGAAGAGGGTTGAGGTTAGAAGGTAACCAATGGGCCGGGTGGTGGCTCACGCCTGTAATCCCAGCACTTTGGGAGGCCGAGGCAGGTGGATCACCTGAGGTCAGGAGTTTGAGACCAGCCTGACCAACATGGTGAAACTCCATCTCTTCTAAAAAATACAAAAATATTAGCCAGGCATGGTGGCGTCTGCCTGTAATCCCAGCTGCTCAGGAGGCTGAGGCAGGAGAATTGTTTCAACTTGGGAGACAGAGGTTGCAGTGAGCCAAGATTGTGCCATTGCACTCTAGTCTGGGTGACAAGAGCAAAACTCCATCTCAAAAAAAAAAAAAAAAA